TTTTTTTTTCAGGATTAGTTTTTAACTAGTGTGATTAATAGTTTCTCTTGCTTCCTCTTTCTTTACTTAAAAAATATTTAACTAATTCTTCACATTCCCACTGAGCTCTAGATTTCATTGTTATCATTTTCTTTCTTCCTTTTTCAATGGTTTCATCTATTTACCACTTTAATGCTTCCTTTGCCATCTATTTTAGGCTACAGGATCAGAATAGAAACTAAATTGGTCTGGGGCACTGAGCAGAAAAGTGTGTCTTATGGCAAGAGTGGGAATTAGGGATTTCAGAAGCTGGAAATTCATTAAGTGCAAACTTAGACAAGGTTTTCTGTGGACCATGAAATAACACTTTCATGAGACAGGTACCAAAAAAATATTGTCTACTGATTGAAATCTTTCTATCTTAATTTGTCAGTAGTACTAAAGAATCCCGTTTATTCAAGGTTCCTACATCACTAGGAGTCCTGGTGGCATAGTGATTACATGTTGGGCTATAAGGTCAACAGTTCAAACCACCAGCCATTCCTCAGGAGAAAGAGGGGGCTTTCTGCTCCTGTAAAGAAGTTACAGTCTCAGAAACCCACAGGCAAAGTTCTATCCTGTTCTATAGGGCCACTTTGAGTCAGCATTGATCCCATGACAGTGAGTTGGGTTTTGGGTTTTCTCCTATATCATTAATATTTATACCTTTAGTAACCTTAATAATTGATAGATAACATATAGTCCAGTATTATTTAAATGTTTTAATCTAACCTTTCTAAAATTTGTCTATTTTTATTCATTTGATTTCTAGATTTTTTCTTTTTATTTCTTATTTGTGCCTTCTACCATTATCTTAAGATACTTTTTCTTTCTACAATAAAGGGTTAATAAATATAAGGGTGAGCTTATGGTAAGAATCACAAGGTCAACACTAATTGGCTATGTGGCCTTGGAAAATATACAAACACCTCAATCTCAGCTTTCATATCTGCAATATGTACTTAGGAACAAAAGGTATATATTTAGGAGTTTTATTTGTTGTTGCTAAGTGCCATCTAATGTGTTGTGACTCATAATGACCTTACATATAACAGAACTAAACACTGGGTCATCCTCACAATTGTCCCTATGCTTAGCTCATTGTTGCAGCCACTGTATCATCAATCTCCTTTACGGCCTTCCTCTTTTTTGCTGCCCTTCTACTTTACCAAACATGATGTCCTCATCTATGGACTTATCTTTC